CGAAAACATTTGAGCTGTTTTCACCCGCGATTTGTGCTAAGACTCCAGATTTTATATCACATAATGCGCATAACAAGCACTGTTAATTATGGGGTGAAATAATATCGATACGGACTTGATTCGAAATCTTATGCAGAGTAGTAAAGTGACTTCAGTGCGCAACGTCCATGGAGAAGCAATGCTTTTGTCATTGTGAAAATTCCTTTTTTCGATATATTTTCGCTAACATTTTGATGCTGATGAGACACAGATGACACACCGTTACCTCCAATCGAAAGCCTCCCACCAAGTCAGGACTTCCATGCAGGTACGGACTGATTCGCCAACGAATCTACAAGGCTGGAGTGATGTTTCGCATTTGACTCACTTTTGCTTGTGAGTATTGTTTCCCTTCGTCTCCCTTCGTTGCTGTAGGGCCAAAATGAACTGACTATCACTGAAGACAGCACCTGAACAAACATGAATTGGCAATTTGTTTCAGCCATAGTTTCAGCTGATTGGCACAGTGGTAACGCACACGTCTTCCAAGCGATGGGTCCGGAGTTCAATACCCGGACGCGATGGTAGATATGCACTACTGATGAGCTCTAATAAGAGCGAAACACGAGTCTAGTGCTTCCGAGTGTATGATTGAATCGATGAACTGAGGATTGTGCGTGAAGGTGAAGTCCGAAGGATTGTCAGCTCAAATAAATAAAACTACCGTCTAGCTATTCAAAAATGATCAGGATTGTGTATGCGGGATTGGGGATGATCCGAAATCTTACGGGAGTGAAATGCTTTTGTCGCGGGGTAAAAGTGAATGGAAGTAAATTGGCATGTGCGCGTAAGGTGCTCAAATGTGAACAAAGGTCAGCTAAGTGTGGTTCACGAAAAGCAGATCGTATCTCATTCTACTTTGGGAATCGTGTAAAAACCTCTAAGCGGTTAGATATATTTGTGCGTGAATTATTCTGGTGAACAGGGTTTCATATTTTGTTTTATCAACTGAGCTGTAGTCCAGACACTGGATTTATACGTGCCTCATTCTGTCCAACGATTGAGCGATAGTATGCGCTTTTCCACTGATGAATTTCGTGGCCGAGTGGGTAGTATGGTTGGGTTCTACCTGTGAGATCCCAGGTTCGATCCCCAGTTGAGTCGATGGATTTCCACTGATGATGAAATCCAACCAGATCGAAACAGCTGTCCACTGATTCCCAGCTTTTCAGCTCATGCCTTATCATATAGATATAGGAACGTCCGTCACCTCAAGAACACGTAGAAAAAACTTCGTACCACCTTTGATTGGAAAATTTCAAGAACTGCCTATTCTGCCTGTTCAGCATCAAAAGTAACTGTGAGTTATTGTTTCATCGGTACACTAAATGTAACAACACTCATACCAACTCTGCAGGTCTGATTTAGAATAATTCCCGATAATATGTAAACACTGTAGTGTGAAACCAAAACTGACTGACGTCTAGTAATTGAATATCAAATTTTCGCTGACAAACACCTTTTTCCCTCTCCTTTTACTGGCTGTATAAGTTGCGTGACGCTCAACACAGTGATACAAGATACTGAGAACGAATACCAAGAAAGCACACACACGTAACATTACCCCTTTTGTAAGCATTCGTAATCATTTCGTATTCTTATGGTGTTGCTATGTTTTGCATCAATATAATTTCGTTCGAACCCGTAGAGTCTTCTCCCTGATCGAAACATACCACAACCCCAAACCTCACAGATACCGCGCCAAAATAACCATGGACTAAAAGAGAAATACCGAAACAGAACAAGGGAGATAACAATAAAAGTTTTGGTTAGTAGTGAATCACCACTGAGCTTGATTTTTGGCTCAGTTTCGCCTAACGACCGTATTGACGTTAGGCAGACCGGAGGTCGTCATTATCGATCGTTCGAGCCACGTTCAGACCAGGACAGGGCGTATTGGTCATCGCAGCTGTGCCATTTCGTGCAAAATACAAAAACCGGGGCATTCAGCACAACCAGACCGCATTTCAAGTTTGCGTTTATTCGTTCTGGCAACAAGGTCAAGGTATGCGCTGGCTCGTTACCTCACGGGGTGAGCCTTTCGTGCCACGGGCTTATTCTTATGATCCTTCCCTTTTTTTGAGCACCATGGCAATAACCGGATCACAGTTCGGTATTCTGCCACAAGAGTTTCTCTCGATCTTGCAAAACCTAAAACTGTAGACCGGGGATAACTGTAGAGGCTTTCTGACGATTTCTCGTGTGACGCGTTGGGGCATGTATGCATTCTCTCTTTGTACGCCGCAGAACACTGTACGGATCAAGAGATATGGCTCGGTAACAACCACAGGAGTGGTACGTTTGCACGCTCGCTCGCGTGCAAACAGAACGTCACCCCAACCAGCCAATCACATGACAATTCTGAATCAATTTGACACAGCTTTGAGTTGCTTTGACACAATTCGGAAACAAAACGAAAACTAGTATGGTAGCGACGTTGTATGTTGTTGTTGTACAGAGACGTCAACTGAATCGGTAGAAGTTAGTATTAATCAATGATGGTGTCGAGAAATCAAGAACCGATGTATTTTCTGCATATGAATACCACACTTATGAGGCCGTTAGATGATGTAACAGATCCAGGTCCGTTGTAGAACGGTAAATGGAGCGAACACAACGGATGCAAACAATGAGGTGAGTTGACCACAAGAACACGTTTCGGAGAAACATAGGCATACGTTGGTGCATATGACATCGAACTACTACTACTACTTTGCTAAGAAAACGGAACATGTGGAACAGTTGCCTAGATCAAATACAAGAAGATGAGAAAGTGTATAGCTCTAATACGGTGAAAAATTAAAAAAAACGAATGAAAGTTTGCATAGTTGAGTGAGGAAAAAGCTCTTGCCCGATGCCCGGAACCAGCACTGGCAAGAATTATCGAATGAAGAGCAATACTTCCGCCAGAGGGTAAATGACTGGGATGCCGCTTTGGTTTGGGGCACCTTGTCGATGAACGGCCTCGGTAGCCTTAGGATGCTAAATGGCATGCGAGATTCTGGACCGTAAATTCGAAGTCGACCGGTGATGACGTTAACTGGTCATACAGATATCATTTTCAGACAAAGCCGTGCGGTATTTCACAGCACGCAAGTAACCAATTCTTTGTTTATCATTTTGGACTTCAAAAAAGATACTGCCTGTGGGCCGAAAATGTGTGAGGCGGTTTTGAGACGGAATGGATGATGCACCTTATACCATAGACAGGTTTAACTAAACAGTCTAAAGATTCCAATAAGTTTATCGCAGTAAACTTTGTCACTTGCATAGTTTCATTAAAAAGAAAGATAATTAGATGAAATTTCGTACTTAGGTTTTCCATTAGGTTACTAATCCGATTCTCAAAGAAGATAATGGTAGTGCGTATGATTGTGAAAATATTGCAAACGCTCGGTGGGCTATGCTGCCTCAATCAGAATGATAGCACAATACCAGAGTAGACAACTTCATATTGAACTTGGGACAGTACATCATTTGTATTCAGTAACTCGCTAAGGGACCAGAACAGCTCGCTATGAATTGTGAATGGTAATTTCTCTCTCTTGGTAGTTTCACAGTTGATCAACTCACCGGGTTTAGTGGCACAAGCTCGGGTATTTCTTGTCTCGTAGAGGAATGCAGTGATAGACTGCCAATCCTGATTGATTGTGTCAAACGCGGACGACTCTTTGGGCAACTGTTTGCGAATATCCTCACCGAGAAAGATGGTTTCCAAATATAAATACTGCCGCTGTACATGGAGCAATTGTTCTACCGTTTCCATAATGTGAGACAGCAGTCGTTCCCATCGATCGACCAACAGTTCGAATGGTTTCACGAAGCGCGAAGCCTTCATGGTTGAGAGTTGTACCTGCATTGAAGTGAAGTGTAGATTAAACAAAGTGTTTTAGTTCCTGGGAGGTTTTCAAAGCAAACTCGATAAATTCAGTTGAACTTATAAACTTGAAATTGAACAGAAAAATGAAATCCATTGCACATTTTCTTTACTGTTCCTGAAACAAAATGATATTTTTTATCCCGTTTGCAAATGTAACGGACAGTAGGAGGGATAAATCGTATGACCATGAGCATCTAGCTTACAATTATGGGAGTCGGCAGGCTAAGCTACCGGGGTTGGTTGGAGTGTCAAACCAAATTAAATTACAACAAACATTTGTTCAATGCTTCCCTGTATTTTAGTTCTCGCTTCGTTTGCTCTACACACGACGAAATTCACCGTATCATCGAATCAGATCCCTCATCACAACCATGTAAACAATATGTGTGACTTTTACATTAAATATATCGGCTAATAGAAAATCTCTCGCACAAGCAACATAGCTGAGAATCGACCGTTTAGCGTACAACATTACCAGATCTTCATCTATGGGTTATAGCCATTGTGCATTTCGTGGGGATAAATTATTTACAATTAGAAATGGAAAATGAAAAGCCGCCTGATCAGCTGCCCGGTGGCGTAGTGGGTAGCACGCTAGCGTTCTGCCCATGAGGTCGCGGGTTCGATCCCCAGTGGGGTCGATGGGTTCGCACTGCTGATGATACCCAACCAGGTCGAAACAGCCGTCCAGTGCTCCCGAGCTTTTCAGTTCACGCTTCATTTGCTATATACACGACGAATTCCCATTTTATATTTAGAATTAATAAAGAGAACCAAGGAAATTTATTTATTATCGGGTATCAACATTTGCTTCAACCAGAAATGACACAAACATTGAAATTCCGTAAATCGACAACTGTTTGCACACATGAGAGAATGTCAGTCGTCCCTACAGTGGGGATATATTAGCGAAAGTCTTTCAATTACCGCAAAAGTTAGGTCATTACTATTTTTTGTTTTGGATCGAGTCCGATAGCTATGATTTTTGTCTTATACAATTGCTTCTGCTATTCTTGGTCAGTCTTTGTTTGATGAGCAAGTTAATAGGTGATTTAAAATTTACAATTCAGTTGATATTATCGAAAAGCCTTGGAAGTATTTTTTGAGTCTATTAGTATCTGGAATGATCATTTTAGTTTCGGACGAATTTGTCAAACACGTGTGTTTGTTCTTTGAAGCCTATAAACATGCTTCTCGCGAAAGGACACACACATATAAGCATGAGATATACCTGATTATCTTCAAGCGCTTGGAAAACATCTTCTGCCGAACGTATCTTATATGTGTTTTTCTCCTTGAATGGTATCATATCCAACTCATTGTTTTGCCACGAGCGTTCCATATTGTCCAAAGTGTGCTCGATAGCCAATTCTTTGGATGCTGCGCCAGATATTTCATGCACAAGATCCGCATATTGTTCGAAACCCAACTGGACGATTCTTTCCAAAGTGAACTCTTTTGAGTTCTCATCAAACTGTTTGTTCATCTCAGTCTTCAATTGAGCCCAATGTCTTGGTCGCATTGCCGGGTTTCGTAAGTCCATAATCAATGGCATTGTGCGCCGGAACTGATCGACTCTAACCTTACTGCTCTCGATCACTTCCCAGTTTCGTTCCTGTATTGAAAAATAGCAAATTGTGGTGTATAGACATAAATATCATGATACAGTGATAACAAACACAGCTTTTATTTGAGGAGTTCGGAGTTCAAATCCCGAATGGGTCATCGAATATCCAACAGTGATTAACACTGACACAGTTCTATCAATTTGTATCTCCAGGTGACCATCAATCTGATTCCGAAGTTCATTTCAGTTGGTCGGCCAAAATAGCTAGTGAAATGGAGGTTCAGTTCAGTTCAGTCTTCACAACGATTAACCCTGCACTTTCGTGCTCCGGTTTTGGTTGCTCTCTTTTGGTGCCATATTTGGATAAAAAAGCAGAATGAAGATTGGAATGTTGAGAGTAGATTCAAGCGGAAGATGGAGAATTCATATAGAATAGTGATAGGAGAATAATGAGTGGATCCACGAATGCCACTGTTTGCGACACCCAGCCATATCAATCAGTGTCTCTAACCATTGGTGACCATCATCTCGGGGTCACGAGCCAGAGAGTCTAACGGGACTTATGTGAGCTGGTCTTCTGGTCGGGGTTTTTATATCCTCATGCCAAGTCTTTGTTTGACCACCCCTGATCTCAAGGTCCCCAACCGGGAAGCCTATTACGACCTATACATTTCAATTTCCCGGTTCGGGTTTGTGTATCCTCGTGGTAAGCCTTATTCTGAAAACCTCCCCTCACTGTATCTGCTTCAGTAAACAAAAAAAATAAGTATGCCTAAGTAGCTAAGATCACTATGAAATCGACCCAGAAGCTTGGTTTTCCACCACCACCACCACCACCACCACCACCACCACCACCACCACCACCACCACCACCAC